ATTCGGACAGCGCTCCTGCTTTCTGCCGTTCATTTAAGCATACTTTATGTTAATATTAACGGGAGTATTGTCACAGTTAACACTGGCAGCTGCCAAAGGGATTTCGCCACGGGGCCACCAACACATTTTTGCTATGGGGCCCCATGATCTGCTGTTACACACCTGTCAGTGAATCATACAGTTTTGCATTTATTACTTGCATATGTCATGTTTCATAAAAGAAAATGACTGATGCTAAAGCATATATATTTTTTCCCATCAATATACTCTATAGTAATCTTACAGCTTGCATTCATTCTCTATCAGAGAAGACTTGCTGGTTGGATTTCTAAAAACGCATTACTGTATCTAATTTGCAAACTGCTGCACGCGCAAGCACTCTTTTTTTTTTAGTGACAGATTAACTTCAGCGGCTTGTAAGAAAATGTCTTACCAATTTGATTCTTGCATGTATTGTATAAAGAATATCACTCTTTGAAAAATGTACTAGTGAAATACAAGCTTTATTTGTTGTTGTAAAAATATCCATCTCTATTGGTTAGATATGTACTATTTCCAGATCAGAGATAAAAAAAAATAACAGTATGCACACAGATTTTGTGTACTGTAAAACAACCCAAATGCATAAAAAGAGGAAACAAAATGAAAAATGTAGAGCTGCATATAAAGGCAAAATGAAACATAACATAAACAAACAATAAAGAACACAGTTCTCAATTATTAAGTGCTCTCGAAGGAAGGGATATTATACACAGCTGGAATTAAGCTGTATACATATGTGATACATTATTTTAGAAAGCCTAACATACATTTTAAAGAAGGGCCCAATAACTTATTCATTTTTGGAGTCAATGGTGTTGAAAAAACCTTTTATACACTCAAAGCGTGTTAGTGGTTATTACTAGATAAATCCCCAAAACACTTTATTTGCATTTTTTTTCCATTTAAAAACTAAATGAATAAAGGAAATAAATATATTGTATGTGAGCTCTGCTTAAGGCCCAGTTGGTGTTGTGGAAGTGTTGCACTAATGTTTAAGTTTTATTCCGCCATTTTCAAGAGTTTTTTGTTTTTGTTCGACTCATTTCAATCTCTTTCTATTCTTTTACTTTCCTTTCTTTTTCTAAAATGGCACACAATCATAACACAGGTAATCACACTGTAATAGCTTTATTGGCTTATCATATGGGACAGTATTAGGTCACTCATATTGTAGCCCAGTCCTATGGGACCATTATACATTACAACAGTTGCAACTTACACACTTCTAAAACAGCTTGCAGTTAATATTGTATCATTGCTTCTTTGTTTTGTTTGAAGATTAAAACAGCAATATGAAAAGTAAAGAGACTCTTGATAATATTCCATCGAATAAACCTGCTTAATAGGATGGCTGCCTGTGCCCATAACTCCCCACCCATAGTTACATAGTTACATAGTATTTGAGGTTGGATAAAGACATTAGTCCATCAAGTCCAACCTATTAGGATCCCATCTTTAATTCATAAAGTATACTGTGCTGTTGACAGCTAGTCACCAATCCTATCCAACTGATGCCTGAATTTCTTTTAATTCAGTATTCATGAAGAGGAAGGTGCAGCGGCTGAGAGTACTGCCTTAGCGGTGAGTGTGGCTTACCGTAAAAGATTATTCTGTATCCAATCAGAAGTCAGCCAGACAGCACTAAACTTAAAGTGACACTAAACTCAGGAGTCACATCTTAAAAATGCATTCAAGTACCTTAACTATTAACAAGAATGTAGCTTATTTGGGGAAAGTAGTGCAGGGAATTTTCATTTAACCCTAATTGCCAATCTAACTACTTTGTCCTCAGTAGCTCTGTGACGAAACGGTGATGAGTTTATAAGTGAAATGTGTATTGGTGTTGAGTTATGTTTGAGTGCGTAATGCTGTGTGATCTGGTTATGGAAAGACTATCAGCACCATCCCTCGTTATCTCCCATTGTTCTCTGAAGGAGCTCAGAACAATGACATTCTGGCCAGGCTACTGCTATGGCTGTCTGGAGTTCGTTAGCAGGTGGACACCTGTGGTGTTGAGCAGGCCGATTGTCTGGGAGGGGAGGGTGGATGTGATGGGATTATATTCTGATTTCATCACTTGCTGTATAAAAGTTTGTGCAGTTGCTCAATAAAGCAGAGTTTGTTTCACCTACATTCAAGCCTTGGCTAGTGACTGGGGAAACTGGGAGCTAAGGATCTTCAGGTTGCAAGATCTCCTCAGCAAGGAAGAAGACAGAGGCGGACATACTCATCCTGAGTACGGGGGTCCGTCACAAGCTCCCCTGTCTTTTTCATTGTCAAATGTTTTTGGAGGAGTATAAGATCTCAGGGCCTTTGTGCAATGTCTAAACCTTGTAACCCTTTCCACCACTAAATTGTAGTAGAAATAATAATAATAATTTCCATCATTATATTTCATATTATAACATAATTGTTAGTGCTCCAGTTCACAATTCCTCTATAACCCTGAGGGCGCAAAGGCCTGTCTAGCATGCAGAAGGCCATTGTTCATGCACCCGGGAGACGCAGCAGCCTGGTAAAAATCCAAAAACAGGGTGACACACAGCAGCTGTATGGATCCTCCTGCACATCTTAATATATAAATGCATAGAGGAACAGATGCAAGGCCCTGGACACAGTCTGTGTGCATCTGGGGGTCATGCATTTATTCCTATAAGCATGTATGGGCTTGGATGTGCAAGAAGATCCATACAGCATGTGTCAGCCTGTCTTCAATTTTTTACAGGTAGCTGCACATAACACCTGTGACTCCCAGAAGTCCGCCCGTTAATGAACCCTAATGTAAATGAGCACTTATAAGAAGTTCTTAAAACTGTTTTTTTTTTGTATAAATTTAAATTCTTGTCAATTTTAAGCTGAGGAGATACACTTTTGTTTTTACAGCTTTAGGAAAATCTTTAGGCATACATGGATATTTTTATGTTTGCTGGCTAGGAGGTGACAGCATAAGTACGCAAAAATGTGGGCTTATATTACTGGTGTGCAGACCAATGGTGGAGTCAAATGCCATATATGAAATACCATTATCATCAGCTTGACCACCATTGCTATATATATCAATTGTAATTACCCCTTCTCTAGTCTATGGTGTCTTCATTTGCAACCAGGAGGCTTAGCTAATACAAATTAAAAAATACTCTTTGGTCAAACATGAACAAAATTGCATTTTAACTTACTCAGGGAACAGAGCCTACCTTCTTCTATCCTTAGTGCTTCTATTTTTCAACTTGGAGCTGGCCTGCTGTCTCAATCCACATAGTCACCTTATCCCTCATCAGAATAATCCTGAGCCTCTGCAAAATCTGGAGCAATGTTTTCCCTGGTTCCAGTGCCATCTGCATGCTGAGCAAACCGTAGCCTTGTGGACACACGTTAGATCATGGTAAGTAGGTCAGTAGGGTTAGAGGGGGCATCATTAGGTCTTAAAATTAACAAACTTTGTTCCCCTCTTCTGTCACTAGTGGCCATTTGTAGCTAAATTCAGCAGGAGAATTGCAAGGAGAAGGGGTTGCAGGGCAAATGAATTGGGGTCAGAGGGCTCTCTATAGTTTGAGAAACATCATCTCCTCTTTCTTTTGTATGGCGGGCTGTACAGCTGAAAACATAACATCCATATCATGTAATCGTAATTTACAGTCCAGATATAATTTCCAAACGTAAGTCCGTCTTTATATTCATTCAAGTGCTTCCCCAGTGAAACAAAGGCTGCATACCATCTAAACTTGTGTTCTCCGTGTTGTGTTCCAAACTTGTGTTTTGCAGTGTACAGTATATAGATGAACTGATGTTTGGAAATTATAATTGGACTGCAAATCACAATTACATGATATGGATGTTATGCAGTTACCATCACTTATAGAACTTGAATGTTGAAGAACTGGAATGGTGAAGGATATGTATGTGACACATTGTATTATAGTTTATTGATGTTGTATGTTATATGTATATAGTTCTTTTTTTTTATTTAAATTTTACTACAAGGGAAGTTCTTTATTTAGTCCTATAAGTTTGTCTATGTTCAACTCACTGGTAAAAATAGGTCTTTACAGCTGGAAAGTAATTCCGCATATAATGCAGACCCCATGCTGCCTTCGATAGTGCGTTCTAGCAGTAGGCTTTACACAACTAATTACATTATACAGGGGACTCATTTTGAACAACAAGGCTTCCTTATTTAGATGTGCCAAGGGCAGCATGATGCCTAATTACAGCCCTGCTGATGCACAGTGCTATGCTGCTGATAAATACCATTGACTTTCTGTACATTAAACCTGTTGAAGGACACAGCTGTTAGCCTTCCCCTAGACAATAATGAACTAAAATTGCAGATCGCATAGTATAATATCTTGCACTCCAGAAAATATTAAGACATTGTTAAATAATTTAAAGAATAATGTATTTTAATGTTTGATGTATGTGAATAATTTTCACTATGCTGTTTCTCTAAAAGTTCATCCATTGTCTTTTGTGTATATCAACTTGAGTTTTAGGTTTAGTGGCCACCCTAGCTCCATTGATATGGTCTAATGGTTTGCCAAAGCAAATTACTTTTTTTGCTTCTTTAATGTAATTGTTATGCCTGCATAAATAACTGGGGATTCTGTAAATTGTTAAAGGGAGTGACTGCCATAAATAAGCAATTCTATGTCTATTATGAAAACATAAAAACACACTGTATAAAAAAAAGAAACATAAAGTGTATCTTTATAATTAGTTCACATTCATATCACATATGCAATGGTATCCCATAAGGAAGTGACTGATGTATATACTTTGCAACATTAACACTGAATAAATTAATCATTGTGCATATAAAGTAAAGCTAATGGCGAGAATCCATGCCACTGGCACAGAAAGAAC